GCGGGGTGTGCGCCGCATAATCCAGCGCGAACAGCCCAGCAAGGCAACCCTCTGCCCCCTCGTCCCTGGCGGCCTACGGCCGCCAGAGGGACGACGCGCCACGCTGCGCTGGTGGGCGCTGGTGGGCGCGTGGTCTGCGCCGCATAATCCAGCGCGAACAGCCCAGCAAGGCAACAGTCTGCCCCCTCGTCCCTGGCGGCCTACGGCCGCCAGAGAGACGACGCGCCACGCTGCGCTGGTGGGCGCTGATGGGCGCGGGGTGTGCGCCGCAAAATCCAGCGCGAACAGCCCAGCAGGGCAACCCTCTGCCCCCCCGTCCCTGGCGGCCTACGGCCGCCAGAGGGACGACGCGCCACGATGCTCTGGCGGGCGCGTGGCCCGCGCCACATAATCCAGCGCGAACAGCCCAGCAAGGCAACCCGCTGCCCCCTTGTACCTGGCGGCCATAGGCCAGAAAGACGGCGCGCCACGGCCCAGAGATTAGACACACGGCAAGAGCACACGAGGGGAGCACATGAGAAGACAGAAGAACACCGACCGACCAAACTGGGACAAAGACGAGCCACGCCAGGGGAACACAAGACGGCGACGACCTCGCTCGCGTATCCTGCGAAATGAGAGCACTGGAAGCAGGTGAATGGCGGACGCGCGCGCGGCCTTACCGAAAAGCCGCCACGTGGAGACCGATGAGACATACTGGCTGTGGCCAATTTTTTGGAAGAATATGACGGAGCGAAATCGATAAGGAGACCGGGAAACCGAAAAAAAGAAACCCTTTAAAGGGGCCCCTCTTTGGAGAGGCCTTCTTTTTAACGGGGAGCGTCTTTGCATCAGCTCGGACAGATAGTCCCACGAGGAGAACCCATCGCGGAGCGCGTGAGTGTGGCTGGAGCCTCCTCCGCAGTTCGACCCCTGCGCGGTATGAACTGCGTGCGCCACTTTTCGTCTTATTTTGCAATATTCACCCAAAAACTATCCCCGCACTCAAAAAATGCGCGCGAATACCCTTGCGCCGCGTTTAATCTTCTAGCGCAACTAGAAACCACGCGCGCACTTGTTTGCTTTCCTGTTTTTTAAATTTTTCAATTTTCTAATATTTTTCGAATTTCTAGAGCTGCAGAGGCTCTAACTGGAGACGATTCAATCTTGGCAAATTTTAAGCATATCGCTGCAAAAATTGGCAAAAATGTAAATTTTTTCAAAAGAGGCCAGCAACCTCAGCCACCAAGCAGAAAAAAAGTGGCAAAAGCAATCCCCACTGATCTGATTTTTTTCACCGCGCAGCCACTCCCAGCCGTGGCTGCACGGCAAAAAAGAAGCACATTAGTGGGGATTGCCTTCGCCGCTTTTTTTATTGTGAAGCAGATGGCGAGAAAAATGCAAAATCGTCAAATTTGTCACTTTTTTTTTAGTCAGCAATTATGAAAATTCCTCAGGGAGCTGATTTCCAGTTAAGAAGATGCCAGAAAGTTGCTAGGTTGTTGCTTTTTTTCCAGTCCGCACTGGTAAAAAATCCGCAGGGTGCTGGTTTCAAGCTGGAGAGTTATCAAATAGCTACGAGGTTGCTGCTCTTTTTTCTAATTAGAACCGGCAACAAGTCCCAGGCTGCTGCTTTCAAGCTACAAAGTCGCCAGAAGCTGGACAGGGTTGCCCTTGCTCCTTATCTCTGTTCGATCCGAGCCCTCCCAAACCAGACCCGAACCAAACCCAAACCAAACACAAACCAAACTGAAAGAAACACAAACCAAACTGAAAGAAACACGAACCAAACTGAGAGAAACACTAACCAAACTGAAAGAAGCACTAACCTAAACAAACCAAACGCAAACCCAAACCAGACCCAAACAAGTCCCAGGCTGCTGCTTTCAAGTTACAAAGTCGCCAGAAGCTGGACAGGGTTGCCCTTGCTCCTTGTCTCTGTTTGATCCGAGCCCCCCAAACCAGACCCAAACCAAAGTCGAACCAAACTCGAACCAAACCCAAACCAGGCCCAAACCTACCAAACCAAACCCAAACCCAAACCAAACCCAAACCAAACCCAAACCAAACCCAAACCAAACCCAAACCAAACCCAAACCAAACCCAAACCAAACCCAAACCAAACCCAAACCAAACCCAAACCAAACCCAAACCAAACCCAAACCAAACCCAAACCAAACCCAAACCAAACCCAAACCAAACCCAAACCAAACCCAAACCAAACCCAAACCAAACCCAAACCAAACCCAAACCAAACCCAAACCAAACCCAAACCAAACCCAAACCAAACCCAAACCAAACCCAAACCAAACCCAAACCAAACCCAAACCAAACCCAAACCAAACCCAAACCAAACCCAAACCAAACCCAAACCAAACCCAAACCAAACCCAAACCAAACCCAAACCAAACCCAAACCAAACCCAAACCAAACCCAAACCAAACCGAAAGAAACACAAACCAAACTGAAAGAAACACTAACCAAACTGAAAGAAACACGAACCAAACCAAACCCAAACCCAAACCCAAACCAGACCCAAACCCAAACAAGTCCCAGGCTGCTGCTTTCAAGTTACAAAGTCGCCAGAAGCTGCACAGGGTTGCCCTTGCTCCTTGTCTCTGTTTGATCCGAGCCCCCCAAACCAGACCCAAACCAAAGTCGAACCAAACTCGAACCAAACCCAAACCAGGCCCAAACCAGGCCCAAACCTACCAAACCTACCAAACCTACCAAGCCCAAGCCCGAACCCAAGCCCGAACCCAAGCCCGAACCCGAACCCGAACCGGGAACAAACCCGAAGCAAGCTCAGGCCAAACCGAACCCAGACCCGGTGTAACTGCACTTGAGTGCAGAACTTTCTGTAAACTGCTTGCTAGCTGCAAGCGGTGTTGTTGTTGTTGTTTTGCCCAGTGCACTGCACTGTCGTCGACTAGCGACTCAAACTGTAACTTGTACAAAACTTAGCCAAACTGTCTCTCTGTCCAAGTCAACTAAGTCTAAACGTCCGTCAAATTCTCATCCATGATTATTCGTTCAGGAGGATTTGTCTCAAGAAGGAGTCTCGTCCTGATTCTCTTAGAATCGCTCGTGTCTTGTGCTTCTCGTGTTGGAACCTTATGCTTCTTCACTTAGGCTCTGTCTTGATGCTTCTTGTTTCAAGTCGTAACCTTTATTCAAGCTCAAAGGATCTTCGTCCTGTATTGTCTTGGGAACTCTGTCAAACAGTCACAAGGAAGAAAGGAAACCGACTTGATTCATGATTCTGAATGTTCTTTCGCATGGATCTATAACAGACTATATGCTGCAAGTCACAGCCGTGCTGTCGTGCTCCTCGCACGTACATCCCCCCGATGCCACTTTTTTTAGGCCAGCAGGCTGCTTAGCTTCGTGCCAACGGGAGCGGAAAAGAGGGAAAAGAAGTAGAAGACGTGCTTGGCGATCTACTTTGTCTAGTTGGCCTTGTCCCACAAGGGCTGGAGAAGAAAACTGCAATAGCTGCTGAAAAGAAAACAGGGCTGACTGCTGCGAGATTATGAGAAGACTGGCTTCGGCTGTATTTGCTCAGCAGCTTTGCTTTTGCTTCCGTCTTGGGAAGCGTGCACGGGCTGTCTTTTGGCAAATGCACCCGTGTAGCGAAGACCTTACTTGATGGCGCTTGCTCGCCATCGGCTGTAGAAGTTGAAGTTTGTACTTGTTGAGCTAATTCCTGCGTTGCCGAAAAACTCGTTCTGTAAAGGTTGCGGATTCACTGCTTGCTCCGCTGAACTTGAAGGTAAAAACGCTGAATGTGCTTCAGCTCTTGTTGCTTTTTGCTCGACTCGGGTCGCTTCTGATAACGGGCACGCCGGTCTTGAAACTCGAGAAAGTTAGCTGCTACATCGTAGAAAACTTTCGCAAATTGGATCGACTTCCGATAATATGCAACTTCAGTCTTGAAACTCGCATCCGATGCTTGGAAAGGAATACCTGTAGCAGTTTCTGCACAATAAGAGCATCTGCGAAGTGTGGAAAAACTAACCTTGAGATCACCTTTTATAAGCGGTCTCGCTTCGGGGGTTTTCGTTTTCTTTGTGGCGTGTTCGTGTCGAAAAGAGCCGGCTTTGAAATCTTGAAACTCGGTTATTACACGATCTGAATCCGTTGGGGGAAGGATAACGGGTTCTGCATTGCCGCAGGCTCGGCAAGATGAATCACTGTTGCCGCAAGCTCGGCAAGATGAGTCACTGTCTTTTTTTAGAAATCCAAAACAGAAAAGAAAGGCGGCTTGTAAGCTTCTTGCGGAAGAAGGGTCTCCCGGTAAACGTACTATCGCTTCACCTTGGCTCTTTTCTTGCTGTTGTCGATTGCTGCATCGACTGCTTCGCGTACTATGAACTTGCCAGTTAGCAGGTTCACTCCCCAACATTCATGCGCCCCGTCCATCAGCAGCTTTGGCTGGTCGAAGATGACTAGCGTGCGAGGCGTGTGACACTTGATGTAGAACCGTGCTGCTACTGTCTTTTCTGGGATGTCATCTGCTGCATCACCCAAAAGGCCCTGCTGGTCTGTGTCGTCGTTGACTGTTACCATCTCGCCGTCGATGAGATGCTTCATCTTGCGGGTGTCAACGATCTTCAACATGCCACCTTGGATGACGTCCGTGACTTGAAAAACCGCCTCGCGGTCTGGTCCGTACTCAAGTGCCCTTTTGCTCTTGTGGGCACTGCGCTCGACGACTAGATCCCCGACAGCGATATCCGTGTGGCTCAACGCGCCTCGACGTGCGAGTGCTTGCTGTGTCGCGTCGCGGTGCTGGTCCTCGTGTCGTGCTGCGAGTCCCTTTCGCATGTCGTCGAGCTCCGCAAGAATATCTGCTGCAGCAGCGGCCGATACGTTGGTCTCCGGTTGGTTGAGTGCGTCTGCGAGCTGACCGTTTGGGAAGAGGAGCTTTTGACCAGTGGCGTACTCCGCTGGACTCTTGTTTCCGAGTCGTGGGCGTGGTGTGTTGCGACTGAGAAGCTGCAACATCCCGCATAGTCTCGGCCAGCTGCTTTTTGCTCTCCAGCAGGTCTTGAGGATAGACGGCGTGACGTCGCGGTTTGGTCTTTCTGCCTGCCACTGTCCACGCGCGTTTCCTTTGAGACCAATGGCGAGGTGAACACCACGGCGCGCGAAGCGTAGCTTCATTTCTCGGAAGAAGCCGTCGCCTTTTACTCTGAGCGGCCAGCCTACTTCTGCCCAAACTCGTGTCTCGAGTGCATTCCATGTTTCCTCATGGCTGGTGGACGCAACGGGGATGAGCCAGATGTAGTCGATGAGCTCCTCGACAACCCGGAGGATGCACGTGAATCCGCCTGCGTCCGGTAAGTCCGTGATGTGGTCGATCACGTAAGATCTGAAGATCTCTCGCCGTGGAGGGGCGAAGCCGTAGTTGCGCAGCTCTGCCTCCTTGCGGTGCAACATCTGGCAGTCTACACACGTAGCGAGGACTTCGTCGACAGTGTCCTGCAACCGTGGCCAGCTGAAGTACATAAAGACGCAGAGGTAGGTCTTGTTATTGGAGCCGTGCAAACACCAGTTGTGATGTATGCTCTGCACCACATTCGTGCGGAGGTGAACCGTGCTCGGCAGTACCGGGTCAGCTACGTGCACGTCGGGCGCTTCCTGCTTCGGGATGTACACGCGGTCTTTGTGGAATAGTACTCCGCCGCGGATCGTGAAGTCCGTTAGTGCTTCAGCCTGTCTCTGCTCCTTTGCAGAGCACGCGCCCGCTCCTGAGAGTGCCCGGTAGACGAAACCATATTCGCAGCATGACGCTTGCTTTTGGACAAGTGCCTGCATCTCCAACCCGTGGAGAAACGCCGTCAGCGCCGTAAGTACATTGGTGTTTATCGCTGCCTCCGATGATTCGCGGACACCATATCCACAAAGGATTATCGTACGAGTTGCAAACCTTGCCGGCACTATGACTGCCTGGTAGAGTTGCGTCACTGTTGCTGCTGTAGCCGCTCTCGTAAACGTTGGCGTGACGTTGAGCACTACTAGGCCACTGACTAGTCCGATTTGCGTCACTGCGTCGTGGGGTGCTGCTGGTATAGCACGCAGAAGCTCCGCGTCTCGTAGCTCCAAGAACTCCACACGCGCAGCTTCTTCTTGCTCGTGCGACAGGAGTGCTGCAGCAGCTGGGATTTCGAAGTCTTGTGGTGACACTGGCACGCCCACGCCGTCGTCTGAGCTGCCTGCTTGTTCGGCAACCGTGTCCACACCGCCTCCGCTGCTTTTTGCGCTTCGCACAGCAGCCACTGCCGCGTTCCGGACTTGTATTGCGTCGGCAGCCCGCGGCTCGACTTTCATTGCTGTGTTGTACGCTCCTGCGAATGCACCTGCTGCATATGCGAACTCGAGCTGGAAGTCCGCCCCTGCTTTCTCATACGCAATAAACGTGGCCGCCAGGATCGCGTCTGCTACTGCCTGTGGTGTGACACGCGGCTTGCGGTTGCGTCCACCTCCGAAGAGATGGAAGCGCAGTGCTTGGATTCGGCTGTGCGACGGCTGCTTGTTGTATTCTGCTACCACTGTGACAGCGCTGTGCGAGCACTCGCGCAGAGCGCCGATGAACTCCGGGCGCGTGTGGTCCTCTCCGCTTGGTGCTGCGAGGTACACCATCGCTCGTTTGCTGCTTGCCGGTATCACAAGAGCCGCGGATCCTACTGCCGTCGAGGTCCTGCTTGCTACCGCTGTCATGCTGGCTACACCGGCTGCCGCAAGCTCGTCGCCGTCTTGAAAGGTAGCTACTGATCCTGGTTTGCGTTGTGCGACCTTTTGGAGCTTCTTCATCGCTTTTTGGAGGTCCTTGACTGCGACGCCGGCGTCCGCTAGCTCGGACGCGAACTGCTTGTTGAGACCGTGCGTTCCGCCTAAGAACATCTTTCCGTTGCCGCCGTTTGTTGCCGCCATCAGATCCCCTGCATCGTTATCAGGTGGGAAGAGCGGCGTATGCCCGTCGGGCTTCGTGTCTGCTTGCTGGCACATAGTTGTGCTTTCCGGGACTGGCACATCTGCCGTCTGCCTTTTCCCAGGCGGCCCATGCTGTGTTCTGTACGTGATGGCGTAGGCTGGAGTGGATGGCTGCTCGGCGCTGTGCTGCACACTTGTGTCCGCTTCGTTTTGCGACTGTGCCTGCTCCGCTTGCTCGGAGCCCCCGGCAGCTGGGTTTGACTCACCTGGCGACGAGTCTTCTGCGACGCCAAGTAACGCCGTAAACAGAGGCTTGGCAATCTCGTCATGGATGTCCGCTGGGACTCTGCGCCACGCCGTCGGGGCCAGAGGCGCTGTTGCTATCGGTGGGCAGTACTCCTCTACAGGTGCAGCGAGTAGTCCGTGGCCCTTGCATGTGCAATATTTGATGCCGTTCGCCACTACGTCAATTGTGTAGTTGTCACAGGCGACACTGTCGTCGAAGAAGACGTTCTTCAGGTTTACCTTCGCCAAGACTGCCTTTAATGGGTAGCGGAGCAATAATGGCAAACTTCCTTACGGAATCGCCGTGGTATCCCTCCGTTAGGTCCTGGTCTTCTTCACGCCACCGCGCGCCGATGCACCGCCGCGCAAACTTGAGTGCCTCGCGATAGGCGTTCGACTCATCTCCATGGACAGACCGCGAAAACCACTTCGTGACCTTTCGTTTTTCTCCATCTGCGATTACCTCGATGTCGAGCACGTAGTTGCAGTAGACATATCCGGTCGCGACGTTCCTGTTTTCGACTGCGTATAAACGCAATGGGGTCAACGTCACTTCCGGGTCCTCGCAGAGTGAGTCGAGGTCCAGCGGTCGTCTCTGCTGCTGCTTTGAAGCTGGCTTTTTTGCAGCTTTGACTGCTGCCACCTTTTGTCTCACGGCACCAACTGAAGCAGCAGCGTCTGTGCTATCGATTATTTCGATATCCGGTTCCTCCGACCACGCAGTGGCCTCGTCTGGCGCTAACTGCTTGACAGTCGCCGCATGCTCGGCGATTTCGCTTTGCGCTAGCTGTTTGACGATTGCCGCGTGCTCGGCCGAGGCCTGCTTCACTTGTCCGTCTCCTCTTGCGAGACTCGTGATCATCGCCGGCTGCTGTTCCTCCATCTCTACCGCCAGTTGCTTGACGGCAGCCGCGCTCGTGTCTGTCTCGACGATCAGCTCGTTGTCCTCGGGGCAGAAGAATTGCTTACGTAATTCTTGGAACGTCGTGTACCAGTTCGGATCTGTTCGGATCTTCGGGGAGAGAAGCCAGTACAGCATGACCCTAGCTGACGCCTGTGCCTTCTCCGGAACTGCTTGTAGCTCCGGCAGCTCTCTCTCGTCGTACAGGCGCGAGCCGCCATCCGCGAAACGGAGCGCAATCCCGGCGCAGTGATACCAGTATACTAGTGGGATCATGTGCCTGATTTTGTCGATGTCCCTCTTTGTGCGTTCGTCAACGTTGACTGTCCTCAGGCTTCTCTCGAGCTGCTCTGGTCCGTTCGACAGGTGGTCATGCATGATCACGACGTCATATCCTTGGACTTTCGGCCACAACTCTAGCGCGAAGACTACAATGGCGCGTAGCTCTCGGCTCTTTGCAGGCCAGTTTTGTTCCTCGATCCAGGAACGGCGGAGGACATCATGACAGCGAAATTCCCACTTTCCGTCCTCCTTGAGGTAGCACCCGAAGAGCCCGATTTGGTATGCTTTCTTACTTGAGTCAGATACGGTGTAGAAGTGATGCACATTCGCGAAGTCATACGGGAAAATGGCAAGCGTGTCGTCGACCTTCCCGACTAGAGTTGCAAACGCTCTCTGTGCCAACACGTCCTTGCTGAAATGTCGTATGTCTTTGTGGTCTTTTGACTTTTTATCTAGAGCGTATGGTCGGAGCGGGGCGACGATGTTCTGGTATCCGTAGATGTAGCTGCGAATGCCTTCCCAGCCGGTCATGTTGAGGAGGCTCTGGATGCACTCGCGTGTTGGTTCCAATTTCCACGAACGTAGTTTGCCATAGGTCTTCTCGCCGATGGACAAGCCGCCATCCTTCGTAGCCGTCATGCCGCGCCTCTGGGACGTGTCACGCCCGATCTGATGTTTCTCGAGCGAGAGACGGAAACCCGTTAACATCGCTGCGACTAGCACGCGTGAGTCGTTGTCCACCACGTCGTTCTCTCGCCACGTCGTTCCGTGCAGGTTGCACGTGATGCCACTGCTTTTGGACTCCCACTGGACTCTTATGGTCCGGGGGCGGTACAACTCGGCGGAGACGGGGACAATTGCGCTAGTTGACGCTATTTTTTCCTTGTCGAAATCCTTTGGAATCTCAAAGAGATGGAGGATCTCACCGGTATCGTCGTCGTATGTGACGACACGCCAGAGCTTCTCCCATGTGTCATCGTCAAAACTGGATCGCCACACTACCGTCGCGAAGGCATCTACTATGCGCACCGTGATGACGCTTGCTGGCTGCTCAACCGCGACTGCAGCTGCCAGGCCGACAGTCTGCTGTCCTGGTGCTGGCAAAACCGACTCCGCCCGCTTGCTCAGGTCGAAGCCAATGTTGTACACGCCCGCTTGCTCGGACGCGCTGCGCAGCACGGTCTTGTAGATTTGCTTGTGTGATTCGATCGTAGCTGCGATCTCCTTTGCTTTGAACCGGAAAGGGCCCTGCATCTGTGGGTTGAGCGGGACCCCGGTGACCTTGGCAAGCTCTTTCTCTGTGTCTGGCACTTGCTCTGTTGCGTCGAGGGAGTATCCTGGGCGATCGATGACGAGGATCGGATATCGTTCGACTGGATCAGAAATTTCGCATGCGACTTGCTGGAACTCGTCGTCTGCCGACGACGCAAGGTCGTCGACATACTGATCGGTGTCGCACGTACCGCGGCCACTTTGCATCATTGCGAATGTCGTGGAGGCCTTGGAATTGAAGTTGTGCGGATTCTGCTTCGGACCGAGGCCACACGTGATTGGTCGCATCAGCGGCATATCTGGTAGGCCCGTTTGCCACGCCGCTAGACGGCTGGTCTGCGTCGACAAGCGGTGCGAATGGAAGCCGAGATGGCAATCGGTGTCAGTCTTGAAGCGGCGGATCTGCATCGTTTGATTGATCGCCGGCGTCGCTGTCCAGCACGGCGTGGTCGTGAGGAGGTTGTGGTCGACATAATCGATTGCAACTCGTTTTTCTATCTTCCCACCACGCTCAACTAGCATGCCTGAGCTGACGATAATCGGGAGGCCGATTGTGTTTACCGTGTTCCAGTCGTACGGTGCGTCCTTGTTGAGGCGCACTGCTTGCCGCACATGATAGCCCATGGCCACCGACTGATACTCACCATGTCGCACGATACGCCCCACGCATCCTGTTGCACCCGGGATTAGCGACCATCTGGCTTCCGTCCCCTGCAAGCGCGCGTCAGGTCGTCCGTTGCAATAGAAGGCCAGGCGGTGTCCTGCCGAGGCTTCGGCACGCGCCCGAGTTTCGACGTCGATTTCGGTTGACATCGTGGACCTGTAGTGGCTCTGCACTTTTTGGCGAAGCTGCTCGTCCGTAACCGGTTCTGCGCCTTCGTCTTCTAGTGTGCGGATTCGGTCTCGCAAGCTATCGATAGCTTCCTGGGTTTTTGTATTCGTGGACAGCATGCGCTTTTCCGTCTTCGACAGCTTCACTGACGGCATGCTTTCGTCGACCTCGGGGATGAGCGCCTGGAGCACCTGCGCTGGGTCTCCCAGAGGGCCCTTCGCCGGGCCGCTGGCCGTCTTCACCGTGTACTCGTCTTCTGAGAGGCCTAAGACTGCGGCTCCTAAGCCTTCATTGACCAGCGTGACAGAAGCCGGTGTCGGTTGCCTTCGGTTCGTTGGGTTGGTCTGCGGTAAGATCAACGGCGTAAAAAACAGGCCACGCTTGATGAGCTGTTCTGTTGGCGCGATGACTAGATACCCGTATCCGAAGTAGTGCTCGCGCGGAATGGCAATCTGGACTACACCTTCATCGCCCGCCATGAGCACGTCTGCTGTGAGCGCTCGCACGAACATGTCCTTTTTGGGGACCTGACTGATGAGGCAGCGGCTCTGCTCCTGCGTGCGACTGACGCACTTTTTGACGCCTGCATCTGCGAGGTGCTGTAGAGTCGGCATCGTTCCGACGTGTGGCTTCACTCCACCCACTAGAGTCAGCTCCTCTGGTACTGCGCCGATTCGTCCCATCTCTTGTAGACACAACGTGTACGCGTTGCCGCATGGTAAACGCGACACCAAGAATATTGTTGGCACTGTGATGAATTTGCTGCTGTCACCCTTGTCGACGTACTTCATGGTCACGGTGATGTGGCTGGTGAAGGAGATCGAAGGTGCGGACGGGAGAAACTGCCCTGCCGCGAGGTCAACGCTGCCTCCTGCCCTCACCTCGCCGTTCTTCCACTCTCGTTCGAGGAGCCTGCGCGCCTCCGCTGGGTCGATGATGTTGGCCATCAGGTTTCCTGCGTCACCATCTGCCCACAGGTTCTGGAAGGGCTCGGAGTCTCCGATGGCGAACTTTATGTAGTTGCCCTCTGGCTTTGACTCTTCTGCAGCGGCCAGCACCGATCCCACACGTACTTGCTGTTGCTGTCCCGACAGCGGGATGTGCTTTACACCCTTGATGACCCTGCCGGCGGCGTCGCGGATGGCGTCTCTGTCGTCAAACTTTCTTTGTGGTGGCTGCGTTCCCGTTTGCGCAGCCCCCTGCGGCTGGATCTGCTGCTGGGATGAGCCTCGCCATTGTGGGTTGTCGCTGCCACCACCGCCACCCTTTTTACGGTTCTTTCCACCTCCTTTGCCGTTTCCTTTGCGGCCGCCCTTGCTGTTCGGTGGCGTCGTTGTCGGGATCTCCCTGTTGCAACGTGGTGGATGCGTGTAGGCCGACAGGTCGAAGCTCGGGTCAGCTGCTGCTTCGTCGTTCGGGCAACCGACACAGATGTCGCCTTTGTACCGCTCATGTGTGCCGGCGCACGTCTCGCAGTATGCTACTTTGAACGCACTGGCTTCACACTGGTACTTTTCGCGGATGCCCTTTGCCCACTTGCTACAATGCTTTGCCAGGTGCCCTTTGCCGTTGCAGTAGCAGACTTTCCTGGCAGCTCCTTTCTGTTGGCTGCCTCCTCCGGCAGCAGTGCCGACCCCGGGCTTGTTTTTCTCAGCGTTGATGAAGCTGTGGAGCGCCTGTGGCGAAACGCCAACACTTGCCCCAAGCTGCTTGACTAACTCTGATTTTTCTTGCTTGGTCATGGTCTGCTGGTCGTGATGCCCAAGCGACGCGTCACCCTGCAGGTTTGGGCTTGTCTGCTTCAGCTGCTGTTTGCTGGTTTGGCCGGTAGCTGCCTGTCGTTGTGCCTCGTCGAGGGCACGCCCGCTCACCACGTCCAACAGGTCACCCATTGAACGGTCTTGGTAGCGTTTTTTGTTTTGCCTGCGTGCTTGGTCAAGTTCAAGCACATAGGCTTGCGGGATTGTCGCCTCCCAGTGCTTCATCAGCTGTTCGACTGCACTATCTTCGCCAACCGTGGTTTCCAGCGTCGGCGCTGGCTGCTTGCGGAGCTTCTTCTGGATCTGCCAGATTCCCAGCGCAGTGCTGACTTCTCTGTGCCACGCGACAATGTCAGTGGCCTTGTCCGACTTCGGGACGGTGTCGAGCAGCTGCTGCCACGCTGTCGTCACTGGGTTCTGCGTCTCTTCCGGAATTCCCATCTGCTCGCGGATGCCTCGTTTGAACTCATGTATGATCGCTTCGTAGTTCACTGTCATTGTGTTGAGGTTCACTAGCGGCGCGATCTCTTCCGGTAGGCTCCTCTGTGACGGCGGGAGTAGACGCAATGCTGGCCACTGCGCTGTCGCAATCGACAACTTTTTCTCGACATCGTTCAAGATGCTCAGCGGGACCTCCCGCAAGTTCTTCTTGTTGTCTCTCGTCAAAATGGAGTAGATCGCTTGGTGGTCTGCTCCTGCTACTAGTAGCGCGCGCTCCAACGCCGCGAGCTCTTGCACTGCTTTGTTGCGCTGGTCCTTTGTGCCGTCACACCTGCACTCCATGACGATGTCCTGCATTTTTTCTTTTGCGAACATGTCGTTGCGCCGGGTTGGCTCCTGCTGTTGTAGTTGCGGCGAACCGAAGGCGGCTCCTTGCTGTGCCTGTTGCGCCACATTCTGGGTAGCGATCGTTGCCTGGACGTAGAGGGACCCGTGGAACAGCCGCAGAGTTTCGATGTCCTTGATCGTTACTCCCAGCGCCTTGGCTAGATCCTTTCTGGCCTTGCGGTAGAGCAAGTGCTGTTCCGACTGCGGTGTGTTCGAATGGTCCTCGTTGATCCAGACTTCTACGAACACGCACTCCTTGCCGGTTGCGTCCTGGCAGACGTGCAAGGCCGTCGTCTCTGCCTCGCTGCCGCCAAGGCTTGTAAGCTCGTACGCAGCTGCCGTGACTGGTGCAGCGGCTGCGTACTTGAAGGCGACATCGCACGACGCGACCACTTCGTTCGCTTCGTCCCCTGATGGCTCGTCTGACACCGTGGCCAACACGTAGAGGTCGTAGATCTCCTCTATTGCCTGCGCCGTGGGAGGTCGCTCTTCCTCGTCCTCAATTGCGCAGAGGTTCTCTGTCGCCGCGCAG